TTATGAATAACTCCTCTGGAGTTGATTCTTGATTTATATAATTTAGGTGGGCGGGGGGCAGACACAGTCTCTATGGGGTACTGGGAGCACACTCTCATCCTCCTCTGCAAAGAGACAGCAGAGAGGCGTGTAAGACTGTGACCCTGCATCCTGGACTCAACTCTGGGTTGTCATAATTTAGGTTGTAAAACAAACTCGTCCAGATTTCTAGATAAGAGAGCTGCACCACCCAAAGTGGGATGGATGCCGTCTCTGCTAATCAGACCAGGTTTTCCCCAAAATGTTTTCCAGTTATCTATGAAGCCCATGTTATTTTCTGGGCACCACCTAGACAGCCAGCGGTTGAATGACGACATGCGGCTAAACATGTCATCACTGATCACACCAAATTGGGATGATTTGAGTACCAAAATTACAGGACTGACTTTTGAGCTGCAGATCGGTCACATACTGCTCTATTGACTCATTATCCTTTTGCGTCTTGTTCCGGAAGACATACCTTTCATATGTTTTGTTTTTTCTTGGCGTGCAGTAGTCCTCAAATTTACTTAAAATGTCCTCCAGTACTATATCCTCATTAGTGAAGACGAACGTGTTGTACACATCCAGCGCAGCACAGCCAGCTACCGTTAGCAACAATGCTATTTTGCATTGGTCGTCCTCATCATCGAGTCCAGCTGCCAGCTGTCGTGGCTAGAATGTGATACAGACTAAATCAATTCAGACAAATCATCCCAATGTAAATGATCATTTAATATTACAATTATTCTGAACAGAGTAGTAGTTAAACAGGTAATCTGGTAGTTAGGAAACAGAGAACAGAGTCACTCCTCCTGCAATGTGATAGATAAAGTATTAAGCAAGAAGATTGTCAGAGCGCCAGTCCGTCAGCCCACAGTCAGTCAGAGTTTATTCTCCACCCGGCCGGGTCCACAGTACACTTTCACGGTAGCACTCTCATCCTCTCTTTCTCTCCTACACCCTTCAGCCACACTGTGTTATTCGCCACTTTTCTTAGGCTGTTACGTCAATTTCTGAACTTAGCTTCCTGTCTCCAGTTTTTGGAGACAACACCCTGAGATGTACTCAAAAACAGGAAACATCTTGGCCAACTTATATAAGCTCATTGTTCAGCTCACATGAACTTAATGAACCCATAACTACTATTCTATTATATAATCCATATTAACATGTTACTTAAACCACTACAGAAGCTCTGCCTGAAGACTTTCCAGTTTTCGTGGACATTTCCAGAAAGTTTTAGCTCTTCTGGCGGGTGAATAGTGTTCATTTTGGCTTAGTTTGTACTTTTACTCCTGGTACCATGTTTTGACTGCACTTACACACAGGATGCCATTTAGTCTGACGACATATTTATTCAGTGATTGGATATACACAGTCCACCAACAGCACCGCCTGGTGTTGGATGTTATCACTGAACATATTATCAGTACAGCTGCTGTGAAAGCAAGTTTTATTGCAGCAGAGGAGATAGCCAAATTAGCCCGGTCATTTACCGAGGGAGAGTTTCTGAAGAGCTGCATGATGAACGTGTGCGACGTCTTGTGTCCAGACAAAAAGCAAGTGTTTGCTAATGTAAGCCTTAGCAGAAATACAGTTGCTGATTTTAAGTTCAAGTTCATTTATTTTGTAATAATATTGTATCCTGTCTGTTTCGATTCATATCTTTGAGTTTTGGCCCCCTGTGCGATTGAGTTTGACACCCCTGGTTGAAACCTTACTGTTATCACTATTATTAGAGAGGGAAAACCCAACAAATCCCCCTTGAGCAAGCACTTGGTGACACACACCTGAGACCCAATGGAGACTAAAGAGCAAGTGTAGTGGACTCACCTGAGCCTGCACATACCTGTAACATGTCCTGTCTCCTCTAGGTGGACGGTTTCTTCACGCTGGTGTTTGGCCTGAGCAGCATCAACACGCTGACAGTGATCAGCATCACCCGCTACATCAAAGGCTGTCACCCCAGCAGAGGTCTGAGTGCGGATACCTGTAGTTGATGTTACAACAGGCCAGCTGAGGAGTTCCCAAACAGGCCTAAATGTTGTTGCTAGCATGTTTCCATCAGATTAGCAGAAACATTTATGACTTCCTCCATTTTCACACTAAAGTCAAACTTAACACTGAGCAGACCAAATGCAGCAAAAGCAAAAAAGAACTCTAGGAAAAAACCCACTTTAAAATACAGGAAGAAGATTTACAGTAAATGACAGGAGGAGCCAGTTGTCAGAAACACTGGGCCTCAAACATACAACCCCATTTCTGAAGACATTGGGACACTGTGTAAGTTGTAAATAAAAACTTGTTTTGAAAACCCAATTTGACCCAATATGAATTTGGTAACAATACGAAGACATCTAATGTTCTGAGTATATTTCATATATTTTGGTTTAGACAAGTTTATTCTGAATTTGATGCCAGCAACATGATGTAAAAAAGTTGGGACAGGGGCAACAAAAGACTGTAAAAGTTGTTTAAGTGGAACCTGTAACAACTTCTTAGTTTACCTGGCAACAGGTCAGCATCATACAGAATACAGAAACTGCATTGGTGAAAGTCATCAGCGATCTTCTCCTAGCCTCAGATAAAGGACTTGTCTCCATACTTGTCCTCTTAGATCTCAGTGCTGCTTTTGACACCATTGATCACAGCATCTTACTGCAGAGACTTGAACATGTTATTGGGATTAAAGGAACTGCACTAAGTTGGTTCAAATCTTATTTATCAGAAAGATTTCAATTTGTTCATGTTAATGACGAATGTTCCACACAAACTGAAGTTAGTCACGGCATTCCACAGGGCTCTGTGTTAGGTCCAATACTCTTCACTTTATACATGCTCCCTTTAGGCAATATTATCAGGAAGCACAACATAAATTTCCATTGCTATGCAAATGATTCTCAGTTATATTTATCTATGAAGCCAAATGAATCAGATCAGCTGGTCAAACTTCAAGCATGACTTAAAGACATAAAGGCCTGGATGACCTGCAACGTCTTACTTCTAAACTCTGACAAAACTGAAGTCATTGTGCTTGGGCCTGAAAACCTTAGAAATCTGCTGTCTAATCATATAGTTACTTTAGATGACATAGCTCTCACCTCCAGTACTACTGTGAGGAACCTTGGAGTCATCTTTAATCAGAATATGTCCTTTAAATCACACAAAAGCTAAGTCTCTAGATCTGCCTTCTTTCACCTACGCAATATTGCAAAAATCAGGAGCATCCTGTCTCAAAGTGATGCTGAAAAACTGGTCCATGCATTTGTTACTTCCAGGCTGGACTACTGTAACTCTTTACTATCAGGATGTCCCAATAATTCCCTAAAAAGCCTCCAGTTAATCCAAAATGCTGCAGCCAGAGGACTGACAGGAACGAGCAAGAGAGATCATATCTCTCCCATATTAGCTTCTCTCCACTGGCTCCCTGTAAAATTCAGAACAGAATTTAAAATCCTTCTCCTAACATACAAAGCCCTTAATGACAAGGCTCCATCGTATCTTAAAGACCTCGTAGAGCCGTATCATCCTAACAGAGCACTTCACTCTCAGAGTGCAGGTTGACTTGTGGTTCCTAGAGTCCACAGAAGCAGAATGGGAGGCAGAGCCTTTAGCTATCAAGCATCTCTCCTATGGAACCAACTCCCAGTCTCAGTTCAGGAGGCAGACTACCTCTCTACCTTGAAGATTAGACTTAAGACTTTCCTTTTTGATAAAGCTTATAGTTAGGGCTGGATCAGGTGACCCTGA